GATACTCTCATTGTAATAAGGAGCCCCCACCCACAATGGTATTGGACATCACTTAGGCCCTTGTAGTAGGAACCCGGCCTCCCCGGTTCTTAAAGGGTTTCCTCTATTGAACTCGAAACCGCCACCGAACTTTTGGTGTCTGAGTACCCAACTACAAGGGTTGCTTAGGGTCCCAAAAACCGGACGGTTTAGGGTTTAGGGTTTAGGGTTGGTCTTCTGGCAAACAGACCCCTGACGTTTAATCATTCCCAGTGTCTGCCGGAATCGATCGAGCCGTCGTGGACAATGGGAGCAGCATACTATAGGGGCCTCAATAATTACCAATTCTATTGTCGGGGGTTCCTTATTATAACTATAGTATAATGTACCCCAAAACCCTATTCCAATTATGAAGGTCCTTACATTGATGTGGGCGGAATATGAAGCTTCATCTGGGCTCCTTTTGTTACGCAGACGCCAAGGAGACCCTATATGATGGGGTTATCCCTTCAGGTTCCTGTAATTATAAGGGCTCTATAGAGGGACCGCAGGGGGTTCAGTTGTTAAGGTGCCGGATTCTTGGCACCCTGAAGGCTGATAATGTAAGGGCGATTGAAGGGTTTAGGGTTTAAGGTTTAGGGTTTAGGGACCCCCCTTAAGGCTAACACAAAGGACCTTAGAGTGGCCTGAATAAGTAGAATAGGGTAGAACCACCTGTGGCTCAAAAGACCTACATTTTGGCGAAGTATATATATATATATATATGCACTAGCCGTTTTAAGGAACTCGAAAGAGGTAGGTCTTTTCGGCTACAGGCACGCCTCTCTCCAGTTTGTCAGCTATGTTGCCCTTAAGCCCTAGGCCCTAAACCCTAAACCCCTAAACCCTAAACCCTAAACCCTAACCCCTAAACCCTAAACCCTTTAGGGGGTTTGGGTGCAGACCAGGTCGATGGCTGCGGCGCGTCGTCGCGCTGGCAATCAGCTGAGGTCCCGTTTGGGTGGCCGTTTAGGGTTTAAAAGGGTTTAGGGTCGTGCTGGGCTGAGGGTTTACGAGGGCGTAAGAAGAGGTGTCTTATGCCGGGTGGCTGATCGGGGGATATATTATGGAGTTCATGTGTGTGTGTGTGTGTTTTTTTGTTTTGGCGTGTGTGTCGTTGTTTTAGGGGTTTGTGGGCAGCCTTGCCTTGAGGGAGGGTTACAAGGTTATGAAGTTCGCGTCTAGGGTTTTTGTTTAAATTCCTGGCTGGGTTGATCTGAGTTCGGCTAGGGTTTCTGGAGGGTTCGATAGGGTTTGGTGGACCTTTTATGGTTTCGGGCAGGCTTCGAGTTTAGGCTCAGGTCTAGGGCTTATGCTGCTCAGGGTTTTAGAGTGCAAAATGCACGGCACAGCCTTCTAAGGTATCAAGAGAGGAGCCAACACACCAACCCAAGACTCCAAGCCCTAGTCTAATTGTTAAGGCTGATAAAGCCATACTAAGCATTCGAAGAACCTTTCAAGCACCTTAAGACAAAGCCCTAAACCCTAAACCCTAAACCCTAAACCCTAAACCCTAAACCCTAAATTAAGCATTCGAAGAACCTTTCAAGCACCTTAAAGAGCCCTCACAGAGAGCTCCTCCACTCAAAACCCTCGTCCCCCAAACTCTTAATCTCCGAAGACTTGGGTTTAGGGTTTAGGGTTTAGGGTTTAGGGTTTAGGGTTTAGGGTTATAACCTTGAACGATCGCGATAAAAAAAAAAAAAAACCTAAAATAGCCTTAAGACCCTATAGAAGCCGGGTCTCCCAGTTGGCCCTTTTTTCCCTTTTTGGAGTCTCAGGTTCCTTATAAAGGTACCCAATACCAAAAGGGAGCCCTTTTTTCATGAATCCTAGGTTATTGGGCATCTAAAAAAGCCTTGAAGGAGTTTAGAAGCCTTGCCAAACCTTGCAAAGACCCAGAAGCCTATAAACCCTTATTATAAAGCCCGCTACCAAGCCAAAAGAGAAAAGATCCCTAAACCCTAAACCCTAAACCTTAAACCCTAAACCCCTAAAGCCCAAAACCCTAAACCCTAAACCCCCCTAAGAAAGGATCTCCTCCACTCTGCTCGCCGTGCCGGCCTTCGTTTGGCCACCGCGGCCGTCTCCGCAGCACTCTCGGGGCTCGAAGGCCACGTTCTGCTTTTTTGGTTGGTTTAGGGTTTAGGGTTTAGGGTTTAGGGTTTAGGGTTCTGGGATTTAGGGTTTAGGGAATAGGGTGGAGAGTTTAGGGCTTTTAGGGTGTAGAGTTTAGGGCTTTAGGGTGTAGGGTTTAGGGAATCGGATTCAGCGTTTAGGGAATAGGGTGTAGGGTTTAGGGAATAGGGTTCAGGGTTTAGGGAATAGGGTGTAGAGTTTAGGGCTTTAGGGTGTAGGGTTTAGGGTTTGGGCAATAGGGTTTAAGGTTTGGAATGGGTTTTAGGGTTCAGGGTGTAGGGTTTAGGATTTAGGGTTTAAGGTTCAGGGTGTAGGGTTTAGGGACTAGGGTGTAGGGTTTAGGATTTAGGGTTTAGGGTTTAGGGAATAGCGTGTAGGGTTTAGGGTTCAGGGAGTAGGGTTTGGGGTTTAGGGTTCAGGGTGTAGAGTTTAGTAGAGCCAAATAGCAGGGACAAAAAGGTACCCCTACGATTAAGGGGCTACTGGGGAACCCGGATGGTAAAACCCTAAACCCTAAACCCTAAACCCTAAACCCTAAACAGCAGAAAAGGAGTGTTATGTGTTTAGGGCCCCTGGATTCCTTAAGGGTACTAGAATAGGCTTCCGTTGCGATACTATAACAGGGTTGGTTCCTGCAAGGGTACCCTAGTAGGGTTCGATTAAAAGGTGCTTTTCAGGGTTCTACAATACTATAGAGTCTTAATAATTACCCATACTATTTTGGAAATTCCTTATTATAGTGATAGTGTAATATACCGCCCGAACCATATTCTAATTGTTAAGGCCCTTACACCTAAACCCTTGGAGTAGCCCTTATAGAACCCTTTAAAGGAACCCTTTAAAGAAACCCCCAAGAGCCCTGTTCTAATTATTAAGACTCCTACATGAACAGTTTCTACAGAAGAGCAGAGTAGATCGGCTTCTACCATTCACAGATAGCAGGGGAGGGTTGAGGTAAGCGGGTTTTTCAGGGTTTGGGGTTTAAGGATTTAGGGTGTTTTTCAGCTTAGGGTTCAGGGGTTCGGGGTTTAGGATTTAGGGTTACTGCAAGGTCTTGCTTAGAGGCTTGGAAACGCTTGTTTCTCGTGGGCTTTAATCGTTTGGTCTGTTTTCCCTGGCTGTTGGACAGAGCGAAACTTTGGAGTACTTGTGCTCATTCCCAAGCCCTCCAGCTAGATCCCCTGGCGCCCCTAAACCCTAAACCCTAAACCCTAAACCCTAAACCCTAAACCCTAAACCCTAAACCCTAAGTAAACATGCACCCGGATTCAGCCCCAAGTCCCGTCCTCAAAGAGCGTCCCTGAAAACCAGAGCTTCTTCGAAACATACATGGCGGATTCACAATTACTGAAGACTAGGTGGCACTTCGGGAAACTTTCCCTTATGGTTCATACTCTTCAGGGCCCCAAAGCTACAACCCGGTAGAATACTGCGCCGCTTGATATACACAGTGTGCCAACATGTCGTATAACCAGTGTCGGATTCAAGCTAAACCCTAAACCCTAAAAACACGGTGTATCCTAAGTCCTCTGGATCGATCAAACACTGTTCATTAATTATATTCGGCGCCATAGTCGTAGCGTTTCTGCACGTATTGGCGTTGGTGCTGGTACTTGTGTTAGTCCAGTAGTGAGAGTATGAGTATGAGGAGGAGGAAGAAGAAGTGGAGAAGGAGGAGGTATCGTTTGCAGTTGCTCTTGCCTTTGCTGTTGCCTTGTGTGATGGTTGTGTTGTTGTTGTTGTTGTTGCTGCTGCTGCTGCTGCTGTTGTTTTATGGTGTTGTTCGGTGCTATTTTTTGTCGCTGCTGATTTTCTGGCGCTGCTGCTGCTGCTGTTGTTGTTGGCGGTAGCGGTGGCGGTGGCGGTGGCAGTGGTGGTGGTGGTGTTTTCGTCGCGGCTGTTGTTGCTAATGTTGTTGTTGAGCGACCAGGCGGAGCGTGGTCTAGTCTAGCAGCAGTAGTAACTCAAATACAATTTTAGGGTTCAGGGTAGAAACAAGCTTTCATGCAGCGGGGCATTGAGCATAAGTTGGGGGTTCTCGGAAGTACCACGGCTGAAAGCATTTTCGTCCCTGTGCAGATGCTTGGGCGCGGGCAGTCAACCACCTCAACGAGGTCATGAGAGGGTCTTCACGTGAGAGGGGACGTAGGTTTAACTTATAGTTAGTCAAATCAAGACGAAGATGACGCCTACCACGACTTACCACGACGGCAACGATTACGATTATGATGGTGATGATCATGATGACGATGATGCTGTTGACGATGCTAACTGCCGAGACGCAGCTGTTGTGGTGTTGCTGTTGGTGTTCATGAGGATGTTCTGGATGGTGATGATGACGATGGTGGCGATAATGCGGCGAACGACCATGACGATGGCGGTGCTCGCGAGAAGGATGCTAGTGTACATGGCTATGGTGGTGATGATGTTGATGCCTTTCTGAATCAGCTACTGCTGCTCATGGTGATGATGATGATGCTGGTGATAAATAAAATGATGCTGATGCTCATGAATATGTTAGAGCTTCGCATGATGAAGGTTCATAGGATGACAATGTTGATGGAAGCGAGACTGAGAGACCCTAAAACCTCCAGCCCTAAACCCTTGACCCTCGTCGTCCTGCGGGTACTAGCAGCAATTGCTCGGTCGCAACAGTGTCAGCTGGTTATGAAATACAGCATTTTCGTAGCCAAGCATCAGTCAGCGCAGTGGGAGTAGAGCTGAGGGTTCGTGGTTTGGGCTTTTGTAAGGTTTTGGAAATTTGTATGTTGGGGCTATTCGTGCCTAATGAAAGGGTTTCGCGCTTCGGGTTTGGGCAAACATAGCCAGCCTCCCACTGGGCAATGCTTCGCGTCTGGAGAGCTTCTGGGCAAGAGCTGGCCGCCATACGCGCCGAAGAGTTCATACACGCAAATGCCGTGAAGCAGCATTTGCAAGAACTGCACGGCTTCCCGATGTGTCTGCAGCAACTTGTGCACGACAGCAAGATCTTAGCTGATGATGATAATATGGATGCAGGCATGGATTTGCAGTTGGTGCTGCTGACCATCTCCGGCCATGATCAAGAGTTCACAGATGCTGCTATCGAGCAATTGGCAAATGCATCTCGAAAAAATCAAGTTGATGCGGTCCGCTGTTTGCTCGAAGCCGGTATTGGTGATTATATAGACTGTTGGGACTATGGCGGCAAGACAGCCCTAATGCATGCCTCCGAGCACGGCCACTCGGAGGTTGCACGATTGCTCGTGGAAGCTGGTGCTGATAAAGACTGCTGGAACAATGAGGGCAGGACAGCCCTGATGTATGCATCTGTGAGTGGTCACCTGGACGTTGCGCGTTTGATGATGCCTCCGAGGCACCCCCACTCGAATGTTGCACGATTGCTGGTAGAAGCTGGTGCTGAGAAAGACGGCTCGAACCTTGACGACAAGACAGCCCTGAAGTATGCATCTGTGAGTAGTCACCTGGACGTTGCGCGTTTGCTGGTGGAAGCCGGTGCTGATACTGACTGCTGGGACCGTAGCGGAAAAACAGCGCTAATGCATGCCTCTGAGCGCGGCCACTTGGAGGTTGCACGATTGCTTGTGGAAGCTGGTGCTGAGAAAGACGGCTCGAGCTATGATGGCTGGACAGCCCTCATGTATGCATCTGCGAGTGGTCACTTGGACGTTGCACGTCTGCTGCTGGGTGCTGGTGCTGCTAAAGATGCCCCAGACGGCCGTGCATGGACAGCCTTAAGGGTCGCATCTCGATACGGTCACTCTCACGTCGCACGTTTGCTGGTAGAAGCCGGTGCTAACAAAGACCGCCGCGACAAGGGCGGCAAGACAGCGCTGATGCAGGCGTCCGAGCACGGTCACTCGGATGTTGCACGATTGCTTGTGGAAGCTGGTGCTGACAAAGACGGCTCGAGCTATGACGGCTGGACAGCCCTAATGTATGCATCTGCGAGTGGTCACTTAGGCGTTGCACGTTTGCTGCTGGGTGCTGGTGCTGCTAAAGATCCCTCGGAAAGGTGGGGTTATACAGCCCTGACACTAGCATCTCGAAGTGGTCACTTTCAGGTTGCGCGTTTGCTGGTGGAAGCCGGTGCTGATACTGACTGCGGGGACCGTGGCGGAAAAACAGCGCTAATGCATGCCTCTGAGTGTGGCCACTTGGAGGTTGCACGCGTGCTGCTGGAAGCTGGTGCCAACAAGGACTTCGAAGACCTTGCTGGAAAGACAGCCTTACTGCGGGCATCCGAGAGCGGCCACTTGGACATTGTCTCTTTGCTGCTGACAGGGCGGTGCATCCCCGCCCCCTCAATCCAAGCAGTCGCTCCCATGGCCCCCCCGTTGTGGGAGCAGGCCCCCAGGAACCGGAACAAAATTCCCCCGCCAGTGCTCTTAGAGTCGGACATGGTGGCATACATAGAGCGTGTTCTGCGGGAGTCTGGCGAGAGAGGAGCCTCTCAGAGGCAGACGAAGGCGCTGGTTGAGCGAACTCTTCGGCGCTGGGTTTTCAGCAACGGCTGGACTCTGGAATTACTAGCCCCTTTGTTCAGCTCACGGAGGCCGGCAAGACAGCTCCTTAGTAGCTGAGTGAGCACACTTTACACCTGTTTTGGGATTATCTGATCCCCTACTGAACTTAAAAGTTGTCACTTCTAGCAAACCCTATAAATCCTAAGCCGTGCCTTATGAACTCAACAACGAAGGCGACGAAGGCCCTGATGATGCGTCTCAGATAGCGAGGACATCGCACGGCTTTGGCGGGCTGGTGCAGAAAACCACTGCAGGTTCGGAATAAGACCTTAAGTAGCATTACTCGGTTTAGTGTTTAAGGGTATAGGGTTTTGGGTTACCCCTGAGAGATAGCAATGTGTACTTTAGTATACCCAAAAACCCTATTCTAAGGCCCCCAGATTGAATAATCACCTGGAGGGTTGCATGATTACTGACAGAAGCTGGTGATTGCCAAACTAGGATCCTAAGCCACAAACCCTACACCCTACACGCCTACTTCCTAAATCCATCATGCCTTGAACCCCAAACCATGCCCTCGGCAGGATCCAACAAGTAGATCCCTCAAGGGGGTTCCTGCAAAGTTCGCTGTCGTAGCGTAGGGTCCCGAATTCGGTGAGGTACGTTTTAGATCAGCCCTAAACCCTAAACCCCTTGACCCCTTAAGCCCTAAACCCCTTAAACCCTAAACCCCTTAAGCCCTAAACCCTAAACCCCTGAAGCCCTAAACCCTAAACCCCTCAAGCCCTAAACCCTAAACAGTAGCCGGAAACCTCTGACCTTTCCTTCTCGCACAGCTGGGCACAGCTGGTCATGGCACAAAATATTCCCTAGAACCATGGGACTTGGTACCTTAAGGACGACATGAACCCTAAAAGGGTTTAAGGTTCCTATACCATCTTGGGATTCATAGTATAAGGGTACAGGGCCCCTGTGTTTAAGGGTCGTTTCGTCTTTAAGGTAAGTATAGGTCATTAAGTACTTCAGTTACAAGTCGATACTTGTAGCCATCGTTACCTTATGGAAACCGGAGAAACTACAGTAACTCCCATGGTCATACCAGTGGCGTAGGGGCCTAAATAATTACCAATAGTATTTCGGCGGGGGGGGGGGGCCGGGGCCTCCTTGCTATAACTGTACTACTATGTGCCCCAAAACCTCCAGAGTTCAGATGCCAGGGTGACTGGCTGACAAATTAAATCTTTTTTGGAATTAGTTGCGATTGTCATTTCGTCTTTTCTTTTCATGGAATACAGACTCTTGCGAATGATTGAAATGATCATGTTCGCTGTGCTTCTAAAGGCCCTAAAGGGCTGACTGGTTGATAAGCTATGTTCCCCAATGCCAACTCTTAAAACTTTTGGGGTTCTTATAGTTTAGTAGTAACCTGAATTCAGATTACTACCAAATTTCATTCAAAGTTTATTAAACCTTGTATTTCCGTGGCTTACTATTGGGGAAGTAAGAGTCTTTCCACCGCAAGCAGTGCAACAGGGATCAGAATCGGAAGGCCATTCCTAGGTTCGTCAGTAGTGCGCTTTTGCCCTTGTTCATGGTGGGGTCTCCTTCTTAAAGCCGAATATTAGGAAAAAGGGTTTGGGGGTTTAGGGTTAAGGGTTTAGGTTAAGGAGTTACTAGGGAACCGAGATTCGAAAAAGTGAGTTTATTCATCACAAGTCTATAAAGAGAATTTCACCTGCTCCCTGATAAACGACACCGCAGCATAGTGCCACTGACAGGGTCAGATGGTTTGGCAATTAGATAATAGGTTGTAATTCGTGGTAGTGCCTTTTATGTTATGGCGAGGATATGGAATCGTGAATATTCATATTTTTAGCAATGGTAGAATACACCCCAGTGCCTTGTTCTAAATATTCCGGCCCCTCTAGACAACAACCTTACCAACAACCCTTAGTACAGAACGCGGCTGTATCTAACCTTTTTAAGTATCTTGGCCCCTGTATTGTACTCTATATAGCAGTGAAACCCCTTAAAGAATCCCTTATTAGGGGGGTCAGGATTGATTCCCTTAGTCCCGTGCGCCCTGTATTGAGCAGCTTAGGGTTTATGGCTTATAGGGCTTTAGGGTTTAGGAGTTTAGAGTTCATGGCTTAGGTCTTTAGAGTTTAGGGGTTTAGGGTTTATGGTTTAGGGCTTTAGAGTTTAGGAGTTTAGGGTTTATGGCTTAGGTCTTTAGAGTTTAGGAGTTTAGGGGTTAGTATGAAACTAGCTAAAAGG